TGATAATTCGCAAAACTTCCAGAACTGGAGTAACTGGAAGAAAGAATTCATATATTATGGGGATGTGAAACAGCCCCAAAACTTTTCTTTTGTGATTTTGGGTAACAGAATTTACCTAAGTGAACCCCAGGTAACTATAGGAGTCCAGACCTAGAGCAGGGATAAAGGTGACTATCCTTACTTTGGAACAAGTGCAAAAGATGCCATGAGTGTCGCAGCAGCCTTTGAGAAAGCAGTTCAGAGAGTTCTTGCTACTGGAGATGGGCCAGATGACTTGATTCAGACAGACACCATAAATCTTCACTGAAAGCCCAAGCCCAGCTCATCTTGTTGATTGTTAAAGAGATTGTTCATACATTGGAACCAACTCACATGTATATGCAAAATAAACACCAGGGAGCAGAAAGGATTAGCATTTGCAACAGTGCATCTTCTACTAATAAAAGTAAACTAATGCATATTATTGCTTCATTAGTTAGTGAGACAAGGGACATCTCCACTCACTGAGGAATATATTTACTCAGTGATGGCATCTTACATTTATAAATTGTTATGCTTGTCTAATAACTTTAATTTAAATATGGAAGTTACAGAGCCAATAAATGAGATGCCCAAGACTTTAATTATAATTAAAACAAAAAACTTAGTCAAAAAAAAATTTTTTTAAACACAAAAATGAGTATTTATAAATCATACTATTTTTGCTGATTTCAGCCTTTCAATGTTATGAAAAGAATTAAATGTATTTGTGTGTATTGTTTGAATCCTACATTTGACTCTACCATACCTTTAATGAGTACCTTTTTTTTCTTTTAAACCTAAGAAGCTGAAAAGAGTGAAGATTCTTCTGGGACTGCGGGGCTCTCAGGCTTACATCGCACATACAGCCAGGACTGCAGCTTTAAAAACAGCATGTACCATGTTGGAGATTACGTCTATGTGGAGCCTGCAGAGGCCAACCTACAGCCACACATAGTCTGTATTGAGAGACTTTGGGAAGATTCAGCAGGTAAGTCTGTTTTAAATCACAGTGCAGATTGGAAAGATGTGCCTATTTTACTCTTCTTTCCTCCTCAGGGAAAAAAATTTTAATTCAGACACTTTATGCTTTTCAGCAATAATAGTTCAATACCATGTATACAAATATATAAAATTAAGGATCCACCCCATATGGAAAACATTAGGTCTAGAATTACTGGGCAGTGTCACAATTTGAGTCAAAAGCAATCTTAACTTATGGGCGACACCTGTGGCTCAAAGGAATAGGGTGTTGGCCCCATATGCCAGGGGTGGCGGGTTCAAACCCAGCCCTGGCCAAAAAACTGTAAAAAAAATATATAATAATAGTAATAATATGAGGCTCTGTCCACCCCCAAAAAATAAATAAATAAAATAAAATAAAAAATAAAGTCCTTCCAGTCAATCAGACTTTATTCACAAAAAAAAGAAATCTAACTTCTTAAAGTTGAGATTTATTCATTCAGCTGTATGAATATTTATTAAAAACATACTTTGAGCCAAAATCCATGTAGAATAAGAGAGATTCAGAAAAACAAAAGGCTCATGTTTTTCCCTTGGCCAAAACCACAAGAAGATTGCAAATAAAAGAGAAATTATTATAGAAAGGCATTTGCTTTGGCTCGGCAATTGTTGCTCAGAGTGGTTAGGGCATTGGCCACATACACCGAGGCATATGGGTTCAAACCTCACCCAGACCTGCTAAACAACAATGACAACTACAACAACAACAACAACAAAAAATTGCTGGGCAGTTGTGGTGGACGCCTATAGTCCTAGCTATTTGAGAGGCTGAGGGAAGAGAATCGCTTAAGCCCAAGAGTTTGAGGTTGCTATAGCTGTGATGCCATGGCACTCTACCAAGGGTGACATACTGAGACTCCATCTTTAAAAAAAAAAAGAAAGAAAGAAAGGCATTTGCTTTGGCTTAGAATTTGTTTTCAGAAAGGTTTCCTAGAACAGTTAAAACATGGAGAATGAATAGAAGTTAATGAAGCCACTTGAAGCCTGGTGCCTCACACTTATAATCCTAGCACTTTGGGAGCCCAAGGTGGGAAGATTTTGAGGTCAGCCTTGGTAGTAGCAAGACTCCATCTCTATGAAAAGAAAAAAAAAAAACTAGCATGGTATGATAGTATATACCTATAATCCCAGCTATTTGGGAGGTTGAGGCAGGCAGATCAGTTGAATCCAATAATTTGAGATGGCTGTGAGGTAGGATGACCCCACTGCACTCTAAGCCAGGCAACATAGCGAGACCCTGTGTCAGACCAAAAAAAAAGGCAAAAAATATGCACACAGCTCTAGGTGTGTACTCACTCGAGCAGAATGAAACAGGTCTTATCACCTTTCTTCCTCATTCTATTATTTATATCTTTTAATACGAGGGCATTTTACATATATTAATATAAGTAGCATTTTTTAGTCCTCATTATACTTGATCATTATTTCTTCAGGCCAGGCGGGATGGCTCACATCTATAATCCTAGCACTCTGGGAGGCTGAGTCAGGTAGATTGCTTGAGCTCACAAGTTCAAGACCAGCCTGAGCAAGAATGAGACCCTGTCTCTAAAAAATAGCCAGGCATCGTGGTCGGTGCCTGTAGTGCCAGCTGCTCAGGAGGCTGAGGCAAGTAAATCACTTGAGCCCATGAGTTTGAGGTGCTGTGAGCTATGATACCACAGCCCTCTACCCAGGGTGACAAAGTGAGGCTTTGTCTCAAAACATAAATAAATAGGGTGGCACCTGTGGCTCAAAGGAATCAGGCACCGGCCCCATACGCTGGAGGTGGCGGGTTCAATCCCAGCCCTGGGCAAAAACTGCAATAAATAAATAAATATTATTTTTTCTTAGATAATAATATTAAGAAACTATGCCCTAAAAACACAGTGTTAGATTCAGACCATGGCAGAATTGCTTAATAAAAGATTTCTTAATTTTGAAAAAGTGTGTGATTTGTGAGGCAGGCAAGGTAGCATGCATCTTTAGTCCCACCTACTTGGGAGTCTGAGGCAGGAGGATTGCTTGAGCCCAGGAGTTTGAGTGTTGCTGTCCCATGTCTTTTTAAGAAAATAGAATGTGATTTCTGTTAATGATGATTCTTTTTCTCTTTCTCTCTCTGTATTTCTTTCTGTTTTTGAGGTGAAAAATGGTTGTATGGCTGTTGGTTTTATCGACCAAATGAAACATTCCACCTGGCTACACGAAAATTTCTAGAAAAAGAAGTTTTTAAGAGTGACTATTACAATAAAGTTCCTGTTAGTAAAATTCTAGGCAAATGTGTGGTCATGTTTGTCAAGGTAAGAAATTAATTAACCCTCCTACCCCATTCCCTGTGAATAAAATTTTATAAGCACAAAAATCAGTATTTATAAAATTAGGAATTCTTTTTTAAACTGTTTGGTTTTTTAAGCTGTGTCTATATAGCTTTATGTAAAGATTTAGGAAGAAATTAACCTGAACATGATTATGAAAGAGTATTTACTGCCTACACTATTAAGCTATATGCAGTTAATGTAAGTTGCCAAACTAAATTTTATGAACATTGATTTCTGAAAGATAATCATGTTAGTTTATCAGTTTGGTTTTTGCGTAGTTAGCTGTGCTTTTTGTGTATCTGTCAGATATACATGAACCCTGTTCAAAGCTTTAAGCAGTATAGCTTTATGAAATATTAATATATTTGCAAAGAGCACTTGGTAATCTAAATGGAGCTATTCATGTTATAAGTTAAAGGGTATGTATTTAATAAGTCTATTCTATAGCCAAATATCTCTAGCTTTTTTTTTTAATTGTAGTTTTCAGAAAATTGACCTATTTTTGTTCTTATGTCCTATAGGAATACTTTAAATTATGCCCAGAAAACTTTAGAGATGAGGACGTTTTTGTTTGTGAATCACGGTATTCTGCCAAAACCAAATCTTTTAAGAAAATTAAGCTGTGGACCATGCCCATCAGCTCAGTTAGGTTTGTCCCTCGTGATGTGCCCTTGCCGGTGGTCCGTGTGGCCTCTGTGTTTGCAAATGCAGATAAAGGAGATGAAGAGAAGAATACAGACAACTCAGAGGACAGTCAAGCTGAAGACAATCTTATCTTGGAAAAGGTATGTGGAGTGTAGCCCCACAGAAAAGAATTTTTTTTTTTTTTTTTT